CCCCTCCCCGCCAACGTTTCCCAAGGAACCATGGCGGCGAATCTACTGGATTACGAGCTAATACCGATATCTCGTGAACACACGGAAAACGCCTGCACTGCAGGCTAGTCTATCCGTGCGGAGAACCCCACCCCCCTCCCCTCTGCACTCACGCACAAGTAAAGTACAGAATCAAAGAGTATGACAACAAATTTCACAATTAACAATTGAACTATTATTTTATTCCAGGTACATAAGCAGCCGTTTTAATTGACATGCAGTTACTTTACATCGCCTTGTTTCTGGACGTGCTCAAACTACAACAAAAACCAAATACAAGTGATACTTGTGAATATAAGGAGAATGTTTTGTGAACCTAAGAAAAATAAGGCGAAATCTAAGTTTAAAAACACCTCTGTGTCATTAAGTATAACCGATATATGTGAGCTATAATCAGCACGCACCTATAGCAGTATCAAGTGCTGTTTTCAAATGACCTACTCCAAGGAGACGAATAAAACCAACGTCAATAGCTTTGTACAGCGACACGTTTGTGCTACCATAATAAATTCAACTTAAGAAAAAAATCGGTACAAGACGCGGGTGACAAGCTTTTCGCCAACAGACGTCATAGCAAATCACGCAGGTGTATATGCCGGCGACTACCACTAACGAATACTTGATTACCAGCAAGTTATATTACTCATTGGTACAAAATAGATAAGCAAAAGGCTCTTCCGTGCACGTTGAAAACTCAGTTCCACACATGGTCAGTGCAGTGTTTTAAGGCCTGCAGAGATTAAACGAGAAAATAAAATTTACAAAACACCCCGTACTAAAGCGCACTGAAATCCCGTCCTTCTATGGCTCGACAGAAACACAAATGTAGCTAAATGACAGCGAGAGCGAAGAGAATTTACATTTTGACAATCAATAAATTAAAGTTCATGTCCATAAAAGCTTCTGCATGATTGGAACTGTCGACATATTCATACCCATAATTCAAACAGTTAGAAGACATTTTTTTTTTACTTTCATTGAAATAGAAATCTGAAGGAGCCATTAAATATTTATCCTGTTTAACACAGAAATCTCTTTGAAAACCCTAAGGATCTTTTCCAAAAAAATAAAACAGTTCCTTAACTATCACATTGAGAGATAATGGAAGTTTTACACTTTTCGAAAGTCAAAGGCAGGTGCAGCATAACTGTGCTAAAATGGCCATTGCAATTTTTTTAAACTACTAGGAAGGCGTACAAACTGTTATCCATGCTGCACTTACGTTGCAATTGATTGCATTCCGTTTGTTAGCACACCAGTAGGAGGCACCGAGGAAGCAGAACTCCTCCTTTTTCAAAGCAGATGTGCACAGACCAATTTGCTGATAAGGAAATGTCAATTCACATTAGCAAAACTCAAAATTGCCGAGCACACCCAAAGTTTGCGAAAATGGATTAACTGTGCAACCCTAAACTCTATTGCATAAAACCCCTCTCTATCATAAGGAATTCAGGGTATGCCAAAAAGGCTCATAGGTGCTGGCAAGGCAATGTTTCCATAGTAACTGTATGAAACTACTAGTGTGGGTGACAGGATAAATGACAATCATTTTAGCTTACCCACTTGCCCCCATACGAACAATCTAACAAGAAAACATTCATTTGATTACCTTAAGTTGTTTTCATCTAAGCGTGGACATGTGACAAAAAGACATGCTATAATTGGGTGCAGAGAAGCGTTTACAGTTTTAAGTTTGAAGTTCAAGTACTCACTTCAAATGTGTTTGGCTACGAATTATGTCATGTTTCCACCCGATTAGAGCATGAATGTTTGTCATGTGTCCACACTTGAGAGGAGAATGATGGTACTTGCCTCACACAGGGTATGAGGATCAGATTCAGCAATCAGATCCAGAATGGCCGGACCATACTCAGAGACAATGGCATTACACTACAGGGGAAAAATATACATAATCCTCTTAGGGAGTGGGACAAGTCCTGATTAACAGGGTTCTCAGTGACTTCAAGAACCATTACAACACTAGAAGAAAATATCCTATGACTTACACAAACACCAGGAAGGACTGCTTATCAATTCCTCTGTTCAAATCACTGGCATTAGAGCTAGGATTGGTGCGGCAATTATCTTGGTTACACCATAAGAGTGTTTACACGATGCAAACATTATTGAATACTCAAGTTATTTCTTCTGCTCAACTTTCATAGTGACTAACTACGTGATTTGAATAATGATATGCTGGAAATCTTCAATTAACATTTCATGCAAATGTTATGTGCTCGGAATTATCACAGCCTGTGACTAACTCCTCTTGGAAAGATTTCTTGGTATTTCTTGCTGGAAATGTCATTTCTCATAACTCATGACAAATCTTCCAGGAAGCTTGCTTAAGTTTCTACAGGCAGAAATGTGCACTTAATGGGTGGACATTTTGGGTTGAAGGCCCATATGAACCTGCTGCTGGCATGTTCCTTCCCGGGGGATGCAGATGCAGATGTAGATGTTCTCAATGTCTCATGCCGATTCTGTTGTAGCACTAGTCAAGCTTCTTTAAAGTTCTCTCTCAGTCTGTAAGAGCTTGATGAACCATTTTCAACAGATTGAGGAAATTTCTTAAAACCAAGCATCTCAGAATCACCTTTACTTTTCCCTTTTCCTCAACATTTCAGCTCACATATCACTATGGTTGATTTACTCCAGCAAAATACACAATTTGGGATACACTATTCCACATACACGAGGTAGAAAAACCACTGACCAGCGAGCCTTAAGCAAGTCAACACTTCAGGTAAGACAACAGTTGAAGTATAAACGGCCAAAAAAATTGAATAACATTTCACCAGAAACAT